TTGAGTACTCCATGTTCTTTCTTTGAGATCAGTAAATAGTATGCTTGGGGTATTTTCAGCCCTGGGGTTGAACAGGTGTCCATGCACTCATATATATATTTTAAAGTCCTCTTACATGGGAATCTGCCAGATAGCATGTAGACTCTATTTGAATTTATCAGAATTTTTATCTGGGAGGCTTTTAAAAAAATATATTATAAGTTATAGATGGACACAATATCTTTATTTTTACATGGTGCTGAGGATCAAACCCAGTGTCTCACACGTGCAAGGCAAGCATTCTACCACTGAGCCACAACCCCAGCCCTCATTCCTATTTTTTGTTCACTTCTTCTCATCTATGCCCTTGATGCCAGCTCTGTGCTAGATCTGGAGACCCAGTAAGCAACAGGGACAAAGGCAAAATGGTAAAGGAAGGACACATTGAATGATGCCAGGTAATATGCATGAGACTCATCCCATGAAGAGCCATCTGCCTCATGGCAGAACCTGAATCAGGCTGAGTCCCTGGAAGGTATATGAAAGAGACAAAGAAACAGCCTTTTAGGAAGGGGTGTTCCAAACAAGAGGAATGGCACATTTAAAGGCTGGGAAATGGCATAAATAGCCAGAGTGGCTGGAGCATCAAATTTGAGGCTGCACATGTTAAGAAAGGCCATCAGGGATGTCTAAAGCAATCGGTAACCTTGATGAGATGTGTGTCTATCCTTGGGGCAGTGGAATACCTATGAGAAGTTCTATATATGGAAATGAGCTATATCCAAGTTCTTTTTATTTATTATTTTGAGATAGAATCTCACTAAGTTTCTGAGGCTGGCCTCAAACTTGTGATCCTCCTGCCTCAACCCCTTGAGTTGCTGCAATTACAGGCGTGTGCCACTGTGCCTGGTGCCTATTGGGATTTTGAAGAAAGAAGCATCAGATACCCAGGTGATTAGTTCAAATCATTTATTAAGGGAACTTATACACAGAAGGGGCTGCAGGCGTATATTCATGGTGGACAGTGAGCCAAGGGATTTTGTACCTAGGTGTGTCTGTAGCAAAGGGTTCAGGGTATGGAGTTTCAATGAGGGGTCGAAGAATTTGGCTCAGGACTAGGGCCAGTTTCTTTCGGTATTTTTGGGAAACTATTTAAATATCTTTATCCCAGTGCCTGGGAACGTTCAAGGCCCAGGCCTAAGTTCAAGCCTGCAGTGAAAAACATAAGGTGGCCAGTCACAGAGCAGTAAAGGCACTTTCCTAACACTTGGAATCTGCGAATGTGATCTTATTTGAAAAAAAGGTCTTTTCAGATAAAATCAAGTTATAGGTCATAAGGTGAGATCATCTTGAATTACCTGCATAGATTCTATGTCCAATGACAAGCATCTTTATAAGAAACTGAAAAGAAGATGCAGATGCTGAGGAGAAACCATGTGATTGGTGTTTGCAGTAGTAAGCCAAGGAACACTCAAAGCTACCAGAAGCTGAAAGAGGCAAGGAAGGATTCTCCATGCTAACCTTCAGAGGGATTATGGTCCTTGATCTCAGACTTCAGACCTCCAGAACTATGGAATTAATTTCTGTAGTTTGTAGTAATTTGATACAACTTTCCTAGGGAATGAATACATCAGAGGCCTGTAATGGAGTCCATGGGCCTTCTGCTGAGGGCTAGGTGGAGGAAATGGGGCCACAAAGGCCAAGATCAGAGATAGCATCTTCTGCAGGTAAGTAGAGGGACACAAATACATGATGAATAAACAGCCACCTCCTATAAGGCAGGGAGTACTGGAGACTAAGGAGAAAAGACCCTCAGCAATTCCTGCTACTTCTCAGGGGCTCAGATTCCTCAGAGGATATTGACCAATGAATGATTCTGAGATCCTGTGGAAACCTTACTTATATCTTTGGTTACTAAAACCTACTGTGTAGTATATAGGAGATTTCCTTCCTGTTATGGTTTAGATATTAAGTGTCCCCCAAAAGCTCACATGTAAGACAATGCAAGAAAGTGAAATGATTAGGCTATGAGAGTTTTTAATCAAATAAATCCATTAGTCCCTCAGTAGGGATTAACTGGATGGTAACTGTAGGCAAGTAGGGTATGGCTAGAGGAGGTGGATCATTAGGGAGTGTGCTTTTGGGTTATATATTTTGTGAGCTGAACTTAATCTCCTCTCTGCTTCCTGGTGTGATGTCCTGAGCTGCTTTCTTCTGCCACACTCTTCTGCCACGATGTCCTGCCATACCTTGGGCACAGAACAATGGAGTCTATTGACTAAAACCTCTGAAACTGTAAGCCCCCAAATAATCACTTCCACCTCTAAAATTGCCTTTTTCAGGTCTTTTGGACACAGCAGCAAAAAAGTTGACTAAGGCACATCCCTTCATATAGTCAGTAAATAAATTGAGTCCATTTCTGTGGTTGGTGCTTAGAATATGGTGACAGAAAAATACACAAGTAATTTATGTATTCCTGGAGCTCCTAGGTCAGTGAAGGAAGACCTTGATTAGCAATCATTCAATTTTCAACTGCAGCAAATATTACAAAGCACAGGGCCATGAGGGGCGGTTATGGAAGGTTTGGGCCTGGACAGGGAAATGAAGAAAATCCCTCTGCCTGAAGGAATCTGAAGAAATTTGAAGGATTTAATCAGGGAGTGAGTGTAGGTTCAAGACAGAAAGAACAGCATGTGTGAAGACCCAGGGAAGTGGGAAGGGGGGAATGGCCAGTTAGAGAAACAGGAGGATGATCAGTGTGGTTAGAGAAATGAGCAAGGGCCAATCTGTGTGAGGCCTTATAGACCATTTCCAGGGTTTTCCTTTAGAGCAGCACAATTTCTTTATCTACAAGCAAAGCAATGAGCACAGATCTGCATTTTGAGATCATAGAGATAAATAGTGTGGAGGAGAGATGGGAGGGAACAGAAACGGAGGGGCAGCCATCCAGGAAAGTGTTGCAATCACTCAAGTGAAAGAGGATGAAAGGAAATGTTGGACTGGAGAGATTTAGGTGGTAGAATCGAACAGACTTAGGGTATGGATAAATGGGGTCTGGGGGCAAGGGAGAGGGAGGTGGACAAATGTGATTCCTAGACTTTTGATGGGCAGGATCTTCTTTAGCACAGTAGGGAATGTGGGATGTGTGGAGTGGGGGAAAGGGAAGGGGAAAAAGAACTCAGTGTTGAACGTGTTGCCACTGAGGTGTGTGTGGACATTCAAGTGGGGATGTAGACTGGTCAGTTTTGTAAGTCTAAAGCTCAGAAGTAAGGAAAGGTAAACAGAGTAATTTGTGAGTCATCTATGAGTAGGAAAAAAAAAAAAACATGGAAAAAGGAGAGGAAAGTAGAGAGCCTAGGCCTGAGCTGTCAGGAATCCCCAACCTTTACTTGGATGATGAGAGGGAGAGAGGAATGCTGGAAGAAGCCAGGACAGATGTGATAAGAGAGTATGGAGGGAAAACAAGGGACTGAAGTGTTCCAAGGAGGCAGTAGGGGTGTCAAATGCTGATCCAGGACTTGGCAGATAAGGATTGAAGTAAGGCTGTTGAATTTAGAGATTTGGAGGTTAGAATGCATTGAGATCTAGTTTGGTGTTAGGGGGCCAGAAGATTGAGTGTGAGACCTGAGGTGGTGGGATGGAGGTGAGGACAAGGAGATAGCTCTTTCCTCCTGGGGCTGAAGAGATAGACACCCACTAGTTTAAAGGGTTGGAGGAGGGCTTTGTTTCTATAGGAGAGGCTTGAATATATTTATAGGTCAATGGGAAAGAGCCAGTAGATAGGAGGAAATTGGACATTCAGGAGACAGAAGAGGGCAAGCTCCTGGGAAGGGATGGGAAGATGCAGAAGGCACAGGGAAGTTTCTGTAACATAACGCATGTAGCAGATGTAGAAAGGTTTCTGTTTGGTTTTAGCTGAGCTTTGGCTGGTGGCTGACACAGGCAGGAACAGTGGCTCTCTTTATTTTGTGTGTTTTATTTCTGTGTAGCTGTCTTTCCCAGGTCTGCACTGTCTGCCTGGTCAGTGCGCCATAGGGAATATTCACACTGGGCCTGGGTGGAGGCTGGGCATCTCCGGTTCTGGGCTCTCCTCCCTGATGAGATTCTCAGACCGTGTTTCTCCTCATTCATGAGAAGGCAGGTTCATGGAGCAGGCGTGGGAACCTGCTTGGCCGCCAGGAGTCCCCCAGAGCAGGCTGAAGTTTGCTACATCCCGGCATCATTCACTCCCAGGCTGGACTGGCACAGTGCAGTGTCTAATCTTTTGGCTTGATAAGGCAGAGCTTGGGCAAACCATGGGTGCTCCAGGCTGTGACACGGCATCTGCCGCCCCCCCCATCCCCTCCTCACCCCTGTCTTTGGAGGGCTCCTTTCCTATCAATCCACCACTCCCACCCATATGGCCAGGAGTGCCTGAGTCAGGGGTCCAAGTCCCTCTAGGAGCTAGTCCCAGATTCCTAGCCTTCCTCAAAGTCTTCTTCACTGGTTGTCCTCTTTCGTGACATCCAATTCTCACACGACTGTTGCCTCCACCTGGTGTTGGGATGGTGGGATAGAAAAGACAAACGGGGTCCTGTACTCCGCAGGGTAACTGAGCAAAGGGGTTTGAGCCGAAGCAGGGGAGTCCGCCGAGCTCCCAGGGATGCTCCCCGGACATCCCCGACGCAAGGATGGGGTCGTCGCCCCTTCTGGAGGCTCCCAAGTGCTGCAGAGGGGCACAGGCCGAGTCCCACAGGTGGGAGCCCGCCAAGGGGAGGCAGGAGCGGTATACGTGCAGCGAGCTGCGGGCGGCATGAAGGGCGCTGGGCGGACGGCTCCATCCTGGCGCTAGGCCAGCTCCCGGTACCGCGCAGTCGGGCGGCAGGGGCCTTCCCGGCGGTGGCACCCCCAGGCGAAGATCCAGGGCCGGGGGCCGGGCACCCGGCCCGCCGGGCCTCGGGGGCGGGAGGTGGGGACGTGGCCGAGGCTCAAGAGGGCGGAGCCCGGCCGCAGCAGGAGGCGGAGCCTCGGAGGGAGGAGGTGCCGAGCGGGTCGGGCGACGCCGCAGGAGGTTCTGGAAACGCCGGGAGCGGCGCGTGTCCAGGTGAGCGCGCCGCCTGCCGGGTCAGCTGTTGGGCTCGTTCTCGGCTGCGGGCTGGGGTCTTTGGGAGATGGGTTCTGTCAGCGCAGAGCCGGACTTAGGGGCTGAAGACCGGGGTCGCGCCGCCCGCTGCGCAAGCGGCTCCCGCAGCCCCGCGCCCTCCGCCTTGTTTCTGCACCCGCCTGGGTTCCTGGCCCGCCAGCGTCCCTTCCCGAGATCACGGTGGTGAGGTCAGCGGCGCCCTTCCTGCCGGTCCCCTCGGCGGCTGGCGGGGCGGGGCGGGGCACTTGGCCGCCCTGCCCTGTCATGCTCCCTGAGAAGGGGTGGCCTGACCCCGGGGGCTGCCAGTGGTTGGAGGCAGGGACGGGGGCGTCGGCCTGCCCAGGAGGGGCTGCTACGTGTTGGGGAGGCCCACTCCCCTCGCTCCTAAGCCGGGCCGGATCAGCTTGGTGCTGTTAATTAGATGAGCAATTAATTAGATCGGTTGGATCAAAAAGTCCTCTTTCCTCTTCTGACATCCCTGTGGAATCTGCTTGTGTGTTTTTTTCCCCCCAGCAGTTACGGAGACCTGAGGTAATTAGCTAACTAATTCAACAAACGACCCTTCTGTGCGCCAGAAGCTGCCAGGAGTTGCTAGCCCAAGGGGGCAGGCGACTGGAAGAGCGGGAAAAGTCCAGGCCCAGAGCAGTATGGTAAGTGCTGTGCTGGCAGGAAGGTAGACTGTGGGTACTCAGGATGCCCCAGGCCAGAAGACTTCCTTGAGGAGGTGACTCAGGAGCAGATGGAGTGTAGCAAAAGGGTAATCTGACAGAAGAAAAGCCTATGTGAGTGGGAGCTGCCTTGGGCCATGGGCATTCTTGTGGTACTCTAATGGAAGCAAGGTGATGGGGAAAGGGCACTTGAGGAAATAGCTGCTTGTGGACTCCATTTACAAAAGCCTAGAGTGAGAGGACAGTGCCAGGTACTGTGCCCTGCATGGGTTAGGTGCCCAGGATACCCTTGCAACATGAGTGCAGATCAGGGCACTTCCTGTCTTAGCTGTTGCTGAGCAGAAAGGGTAGGCCCTTGGCTTCTGTGTTCTAATCTGACACATTGAAGATGCTCAGGAGAGCATTAGAGTTGTTCCCAAGACGGACTTGTCTTTTACTATAGAGTAACACACTTAAGGCTTGTGCTTCTTCATGGGGACCCAACAGCCCCAGCCCTCTTACAGGAGATCCTGAAGGACTCTAAGAGCAAGACTGATGGACATTACTTTGTAGCTTAGCACATTCTCAAATGTCCCAGACTTTGCACAGATCCATTGCCCACCTGAGAATTTATAGGATGCTTTTGCCAGCTGCTGCTTATTCTCAACTTGTATCACATCTGAGACAACACATCTGAGATTTAGTTCTCTGTTAAATGGACCAAGATTCCCTTTGGCTTTGGCTTTAAATTGCCCCTGAAGCATCCAGGGTGCAGTCTCTCACTGTGGTGTTGTGCCTCAGGGGCCAGCTTCTCTTTTTTGCTTCTCATTGTTCACAGGATATTTGGCTTTTGAATTCTTTTCTTTTAGGACCTTTTTATTATCACAGTGCCAAGCATGTCCACTCTATGGCCCAGACATTGAGGCCACATAGCAAGGATGGAATTGGCTGAGGCCTTATCCCAGAGATGCTGTCATACTGAAACTGAGGTTTGTGATAGGCTCTTCTACCCTGTCATAGGCTTTGAAGTGGGATGTCTAATAGAGGGCTCACTTTGCCACTGGTTTAGACCAGCCATAGCTGCTCTCTGTTCATTTCTTAAGTATCTCCTGCATCCGTGCTTGGCTTCTGCCTAAAGTGTGCCTGGGGCTGGAATGAGGGAGATGAGGTGGCCAAGGCACTATTCTTGCCTATGGGGAGCTCATAATCTGTCTCAGATTGTTGTTTCGTGCTGGTATCTGGGCACATGCCAGGAGGACTGCTCATCACTCAGATACTGGGTATGTGCAACTCTGAGGAATGAGTGGGGTGAGAAAATATAGGGTCTTCTCATTTCCTGAGAAAGTCTCCCTTTTTAGCTCTGCCCTCCCACATCCTTGGGAGGGTCTGAGGCTGGACGCAAGGCCTTGGCCGAGTTGTGGCCACGCTGGCTGATAGTGTGCAGAGGGCTGGTAGGTGTGTCCCTAGTTCTTGGGATCTGTCAAGAGTTTAATTTTATGCAGATGGAGTTTGGCAGGAAATGTTGTAGCACAGGCACGTGCAAGCCTAGCAGAATACTGGACTGAGAGTTAAACTTTGAAAACGTCACTCCAATCTAGCAATTTGGACTTTTGAAGTGCCTGAGGGTGGGACATTAGTCTATTCTAGAGCAAAGGGGCCTGATGAATCCTGTGGTCTGTGGGTTTTGTGATGGGAACAAGGAATGAGGGATAGATAGACAGTTTTTTATTCTTAGAAAGAGCAGAGAGGAATGAAAAGTCTGAACTAGACTTCTTGGAGCCCTAGGAGAGAGTTTTTGTTCAGTTGGTATCATTGCAGGACTGAGGATTAAAGTGTTTAGGTAGTGTTCTCCAGCTCAGAGAGGATCTGTCTGAGCCTGTTCAGAAGCCAGTTTCTGCTCTAGACCTCTCCAGAAGTGCTTAATAGAATGTAGCCTGCTCTGTACCTGGAACAGAGGATATGGCAGAGATCCCAAGACCTGATTCTTGTAGAACCCTGGAGTGAGCAGGTCAGAGGCACAGAAGTACATGAGACCCTAGAGTATTGGTCCAGGTCCCTGTCTTTTGTTATAGAAATTTCATTGGTGAGGTTTAGAACCAGGGATTGGCTAATTCCAGGATTGTCCCTGATGGGCAGTGTACTGCATGACCCTAGTCTCTCCTGTAAGTCTTCTGGCACTCCTGGGACATGGAAAGTGCCCAGTTTCTGCTTTGTTCTTGTTTCATGCCTTTTCATTGACCTCTGGTCTGGACCTTCTTTCTCACTCAGATAATCAATTGACTTATGCAGGGCAGGTGACTATTTCAGTTCCACTGATTTTTCTCTGGTGCTCCTCATGCTGATAATTGACATAAATTATGCCTGGTGCTTGCTGATATCGGTCATCTCATTCAGTCATCACAACAGCCATGTGAAATATAGGTCCTAGTATCATATAGATGGGGACACTGAGGTTTACAGAAGGCTGTGACTTACACAAGGTCATAAAGCCAGAAAGTAGTGATGGAGTTGGGATTTAACTCTGGGTCTGCCCGACCTCAGAGTACCTGCTCACTGGACTGAACTGCCTTGCCTTGAGGTGGGCTGCTTGGTTACATGTGAGTGCTGTAATGTCTGGAGGTAGGAGTAATACTCACCTGAACTCAGGGAACTGTGCTGCTGTTTTCTGGGTCTGCATTGCTCTCCTTCTGGTGAGATCCAGCCAGAGATGTCTTGAACCTGCTTTGTGAACCTTTTGGGTAACCCATGATAAAGTCCTTAGCCTGGGCAGGCATGCTTTGCTAGAGCAAAGTGTTGCTTCCCTCTTTGGAAGGCCCCTGTGTTCTAAGGTAACACATATTCCTGAGTAAGATTGGATGACAGCAGTCTGTAGTAAAAAGTGTGCTTGGGGTTTGGGCTTGGTTCTGACATTGATTTTTCTGTCAGATGTCAAATGTGGAGGAAGCCCTCTTGGCTTCACTTATCAATCTTTTGTATCTATCTTATACAGTAGTTTCCCCCCTTACCCACAATTTTATTTGCCACAGTTTCAGCTATACATGGTCAACCACAGTCTGAAAATATTAAATAGAAAATTACAAAAAGAAATAATTTGTAATTTTTAAGTTGTGAGCCCTTCTGATTAGCATGATGAAATCTTGTGCCATCCTGTATGTTCTGTCCAGGACATGGATCAGTCCTTTGTCCAGTGTATCCATGCTGTATATGCTACCCACTTGTCACTTTGTAGCCATTTTGGTTATTAGATTGACTGTTAATGGTATTGCAATGTTTATGTTCAAGTAACCCTTATTGTATTTAATAATGGCCCAAAGTGAAAGAGCAGCGATGCTGGCATTTTTTTTATAATGTTATAATCTATTTTATTATTTGTTTTTTAACAGTAATCTCTTACTGTGCCTAATTAATAAGCTAAATATTATCATAGGTACATATGTATGGGGAAAAACAGCATATGCAAGATTTGATATTTATTAACTGTTTTCAGGCCTCCACTGGGGGTCTTGGACTGTATCCTCCATGGACAAGGGGGGATTACTCCATCTGGAATGGAGATGATTATTTAGCTTACAAGATTTTAGTGAGAATTAGATGGTAGAAATGAAAGATTTTTGGAAACATAAATTGTGGTTACCTTAGACTACGTTCCCAGAAAACAGCCTGAGGAAGAGCTTAAGTGCTTAATGCTTTATTGGAAAGTCTGTTATTGTAGGGCAGCCAAGACAGGGAAGAGAAAAATGAGGTAGAGAAGAATAGGAAGCAAATACAGGGTGGTGCTTTAGCAAGGTGGCCACTCTGCATGAAGATCTACTTGTTGTTTACCCATTCAGGACCTCTCTGTGCAGGCTCTGTAGAAACTCTATGCCTCAGAACAGTTTCTTGTAAAAGGCTTAGAGAGAATTTATTGGCTGAATTCCTCTTGTCTTCTATGCATCATTGGTCAGAACTGCCTTGTGAGCCACTAACTTTCCCTCCCTCCTCAGGAAGGCCCTTCTGTAGCCATTGGAGAGATCAGTATGGAGATAGTAGGAGGAGCCAGAAATTCTGGCATAGGTCAATACAGTCACTTTGACTAGGTTAAGGCCAAACAAGTGGTTCAGGGCCTAGAACATGGGTGAGACCAAAAGAGTATGAGACTGTGTGTATGATGCATCCAATATGGTGATATGTGAATTTCATCCTCCCGTAGATCCTTCTTATGAATTAAGATAATCTAGACTGCCAAGTCTCTGCCAAGACCCTAACTGAAAACCCAACTTGGCATTTGCATGTTGATTTTAATGATCTCCTTGCTACTTCATGGCCTAGTTACTGAAGCAGGAGATTTTGTGGTTTTGATGGTACCCAAGTAGGGAAGTGGAAATCAATGTTTTCATGCACTGGATGGAGAAGGTGTAGGAACAGATGCATATTATCTGACACATGCACCCTCATCCAGTTTTGCAGGGTCCATTGTGCCTCCTTTTCTCTACTGGGGATCAAAAATAAGAGCCCAGGGAGTTCCCTCAGTGATAGTCTTATATGGCTTTTTAAATGTGGAGTGAGGGATGAGGTTCAAGAGAACACTTGACTACTTTGAGCACAGATCCAGGCTTCATTAGGTTTTTGGTAAAAGAAATATTTTTCACATGGAGTAATTGTTGAAGATATGAAACCTGGCATGGTGAGATGGGCTGGAAAGGACAGCAGGGCCAGGTCACACAGAGTTATGGGGCCCTTTGGGTTAAGGAGTTCAGACTTTGTCCTGCTGGCAGTGGAAGCCAAAGGAAGGGATTCAGTAAGCCATGCTGACTACTTTGTAGAATAGAGTTGGGAGGGAAGCCAGATGAGATGTGGAGAGAGAGGTCAGAGAAGGTTAGGGCCAGCATGGCTGTAGCTGTGTTGGTAAGGACTCAGATGATGGTTGAGATGTAACATCAGAGAACACTTGGGTGCCTTTCCTGTAGTGGCAGTGACAGCAGCTTTTGGGCCTGAATGTTCATTCATGTGTTCTGCAGTGGGATCTCCCGTAGCTCCGTGCAGCTCCTCCTAGATTGAGCATTTAATTCCTTTCATCTCTGCCATCCTGGAGTTGGTCACAGCACCAGGAGGGAGGGCCATGGGAGGGATAGGGGGTCAAGGACCCCTGTTCAGGGAGGTTTTGCTACTTCACAGAAAACAGGCAGAATTTTATCCAGTGCCAAGCAAGACCTTTCTATTCTCAGCAAATCCATGTTCTGTCTCTAGGCTGTTAAGTACATTGTTAAAACTCAAGCTGTTGGGTTTGGGTTGCAGCTGGGAGCTTGGCAGAGGATCCTGCTTGATGAGGTAAGGGGAGAAGCTAAGGACGCTGCTGGTTTGCAGCTGGAAACATCTTTTCATGGTCATTTGGCCAGGTTGTAAATGTTCTTTCCAAAGAGCAGTCTTGGTAGGACCTCTGGTTGTATGTCTTGGAATTTCCCTGTGCTTAGAAATAGTGCCAGTTGCCTGGTGGGTGAATTACTGTCACTGGAGTGTTGGCAGGCTTCACAGGACCTCCCGGTGGGGGTCCAAACTGTAGGGCTGCCAAGACCCCTTTCGAGTTCATTTGAGAAGGCCCTGCTTTGTTTCCTTTATATTTAAGCATATTATAGAAAATATTTTTAAAATTCCTATATAATTCCTTATAAAAAGATTAGGAAAACAAATAAGCATAAAAGGAAAAATAAAATTACTTCACTAAGATGCAACTAGATCATGCCTCTCTTGCATATATACTACATGCAGTAGTTTTTCCTTACAAAAGTGGAATCATGTAGTATACTTTGTTTGGGGCCTGCTTTTTCACAGTTCTTTATTCTCTCTGCATTGATATGCGTACAGTAGGCATTCTGTATACTCTGTATACTCAACAATTCACTCTATGGGAGAAATCTAAAATTTTCTGTTGTTGTTTCCTAAATTGAACAAGCATATGATGAAGAGTTATTTGTGGGGTGACTTCTAGGAGATACATTATTCTAAGCTCTAGGGGTGCAGTTCAGGTAAAACTCAACAATGGTTTTCTGTTTGGGCTTGGTGCAACTTTGCTTTTCATAAAAGGGGATTTGGCCACATCTTCAAACTTATTCTGTGTGGATTTCTGAAGGTTCCTGGAAGGGCTTTTGGCAGCATTGGACATTGTTTGGAACTAGGCAGGTACACGTACTCGCATGTTCTTTGCAAGTTAAGGGTATAAGAGAGAGTAAGGGTTGACCTTTTACACATTGTGGGGCACAGTCCCTTTTGAATGCTTCCTCCTCCCAACTTCATGCTAATTAAATAACCTTTGTACAAAGCCTTCTGAGTAGAGAGGCCCAGGATCAGGAGAAATAGGATGGGGTTGCAAGATGCCCCTGCTTGGGATGGCAGTATGGATGTGGCAGTCTGGGAGCTGCTTGGGGGTGCCCAGCTGTTTGGGCCAGCAGAGTCATCATCCCCCTCTCCCGCCAGAGTGAGACTCTGCGGCTCTTAATTTCCCCAAACTTATTTGTGATTCTTTGAGGCTCTGCCTCCAGGCCAGGATTCATGGATGGGCTCAATCTAAGCCACACAGCACATTCCAGAGAAAGGACAGCTGGTATTCATGTAATAAAGAAACCTGGCTGTTTTACCGTAAGTGCTATTAGGTGCTCATGGATGGTGTCAGCTGGATAATTTGGAAGGCATGGAGAGATTCCCTCTTCCCATAAATTTTTTGTCTGAGCTCTGCAGATGTATGCAACTGAAAATGGTGATACACCTGGGGAGAAGGGTGGGGGCCCCCACTTCCAGCCATGTCTAGTCTGATCTCCTGCCTGGACCTTGTTCTCCCATCACCCCCGTCCCAAAGCTGGTCCCCCTACTGTTCACAGATCCTCCTGGCTTTGAGTTTTTCCTACACATACACAGAAGGTGCTCTCCTGAGGTAGTCAAGCCTTCTGAGGTACAAAGAATAGACATATGCCCTTTTAAGTTAATGGGCTTGTAGAAGCAACAAGAGAGGCCTTCTGGAATCCTGAAATGGAGAAGACAGTTGGGGAGGCCTGGGAGCAGACCAGGCTGGAACTGGGAGCACCTGGCCCACACCTACTCATCTTCTTGCTTTCTTTTGATGCCTTGACTCATAATATACTCCTTAGCCTACTACTCCCTTCCCTACAGCACATCCTGGCTTGAGGAAAAATAATTATCCTGTCTGTCTCTGAGCCCCCAGCAACTAGACTGTGATGGGCATGCTGTCAGCTCTGCAGCCCTGCTGGGCTGGACACTTGGGCCCATGCACTTAAGCTATCTTCTTAGATAAGGTTAGAGGAACCTGTTTGGGGCTGGGCCCTTCTGTGAGCCTAACCTGGAACTACAGTGGATTGAAATTTCTTCTGAAAGGGTAAGATGAGGAATGGAGAGTGTGACTGTGTATCTAAGCAACCATGGCAGGCAAAAATTGGTGAACTGGCATTAGGCAGCTCAGACTTGGAGTTCTTTCAGTTAAGACTTTTATTTTGGGGAGAAGCGCTTATTTTTCCTTTATTTTCTCAGTAAATTTCCATTTGAGCATTCCAGTGAGACTCGGCTGAAGTGGATCCAAAAGAGAAGAATTGGCAGAGTAGGGGCTCCAATGGGTAGTGGTCCTCCAGCACGTCCTGGGATGCATTGCTGAGCTGGGAGATGATGTCTGAAGCTTCTCTTGTGTATATAGGTCCACTGCCAGTGAGGCTTGCCCCAGGTGGTGCCTGCCTCCCTCAGAGCAGTGTCTGACTATTTCTAGACTGATGAGAAGCTGGCTTCTTCCCTGTGTCAACTGTCTAGCTCAAGAGTTTGGCTATGGGTGGCTAATTCATTTTTGTATTCTGAGTGCCTAGCTCAATGCCTGGCATCTCTGTATGGTCAGTAAATATTTGTGAATGAACGGTGACTGGCCAGTGAGGATGCGTCTGCTGAGGAGCCTCACTACAGGAAGAGCAGTGTCTATCCTGGATGTCACTCCCCTGACTGCTCTGTGTGTGGCAGGTATAGACTGGCCGGGGTCAGTTTGATGATTCTTCTGGCTGACCATCTGCTCTACACCTCAGTTTGGGCTGGGTTCCCTAGAACATATCATATCAAGTTCTCTGTTGTTGTCTTTTCATAATGTCACCATCTTATGGGCAAGGACTAGGTCACCAGAATCTGGCATTATCATGGTACATGTATTGGAAGGTAAGATAGAAACAGTCTGTGAAATAAGAAGGGATAGACCAGAATCTTGGACTGTCAGATGATTGGAACCAGAGGTGACTGTCCCCTCACCATGATTCAGCCTTCTCATGTTGCTAGTGGTTTCCAGGAATTGAGAGGATGGAGCCTTTCCCCAGGGCATATGGCTTGCCAGAGTAGGGTCCAGAATTGAGCACATGTCAGTGCTTCCACACCCTGTGGTGATCCCAAATCTCTTTCTTAGCTTTCTTGTGCTGCGCCAGGATTTTGGCACATTTGATCTAATGAATGTCCCTGAATGCCTTGCAGATGCTTCCCTCTCTGACGATGAAACTCCAGGTGTCCACACTGCTGATGGCCTGGTTTGGTGTCCTGAGCTGCGTGCAGGCCGAGTTCTTCACCTCTATTGGTATGTGGCAACAGGACTGTTGTCTTCCTGGGGATCCCTTGGCTCAAATGCCAGGTGATTTCACTACCTGAGGTGTGTTCTAATTCAGGGAAGGGTGGCCTCATTCACTGGTTTTGACCAGTTCTGGAGATCGTGGGGCTTACAGAGTTGTCATTTTCCCCCTCTGAGAGCCTAAAGATCTGGATTTCCTTGGATCCAGCTGTCTGAATGGGCCCTTCTCCCTGGGACATGCAGGCTGCATGCATGCTATCTGGCCTTTTTGACTAACTTTCTCCCGAGGCAAGAGTGGTTCTGAGCAGTGAGCACTCTGTGTCCTGGGAATCCAGCTCTTCTCCTTACCTGAAGTTTCAGAGCTTGTTTCCATATGATGACCCCTTAGGATGTCTATTCCCAGTGACATGACCAGCTGGTTAACAGTGGGAGAATGAAATTTGGACCTTCTTCCTTGAGTAATCCCAGTGAATTTATCACAGACATCCTGTTGGCACTTCTGCCTGTCTCCTCCTAGAGTTGGGGCCAGGACCATGTGTTCCCAGAGAGCCCCGACACGCCCTTGGACCAGAAAATTTACTTCTTCTGAATTGATGTTTTATGCCCCAAGGAAGGGGGATGGACATCCCTCATTCATTTCTGATTGGCCCTTACTTCTCTCCTACAGGGCACATGACTGACCTGATTTATGCAGAGAAAGACCTGGTACAGGCTCTGAAGGAGTACATCCTTGTGGAGGAAGCCAAGCTCTCCAAGATTAAGAGGTGTCTAATGTCCTAAGGCCCCATATGCACCTTGAGTTAGCCTTCCTGCCCCTCCCCACAGCCCATGTGTGGGTGTCTATAAGAGGAAGCCCTCCAGAGGTGTGGTCTCTCCCACCTGTCTGAATACTTTAGTATCACATGGGTTAAAGAGTCTCTGTCTTTTCCTTTCTGCTTAAGTCCTTTCTACTTTCACCGAGGTTCCCAGCTCTTATTAAGATTAAGGAGCTAGATGTATCTGTGGGAGTTACTGTATTCATGTTTTATTACCTCTTAACAAAAGGTGACGGATCTCGTCAGGGAAATTACCACAGATCAAGACCTGTGTGGGTGGGGATGTTAGTCTTCCTTTCCTTTGGTTCCACAGCTGGGCCAACAAAATGGAAGCCCTGACCAGCAAGTCAGCTGCTGACCCCGAGGGCTACTTGGCTCACCCCGTGAATGCCTATAAGCTGGTGAAGCGGCTGAACACAGACTGGCCTGCTTTAGAAGACCTGGTCCTGCAGGACTCAGCGGCAGGTGAGGGACAGTGAGCAAATGTCATGTGACAATGTAGACCCTGCTGATGATGGCTCTGTTCTTTCTCTTTTAGTGCTGGTAGTTGGCTGTCCTTATTTTAAAACATGTAACAGTAATCAGTTTTTGCCTTTTTGTTTTTGGTAATAACATTTCCTGTAATTATACTTTAGTAATACATGTTTTTATAGAAAAGTTAGGAAAACAAACACAGTCACATGAGAAAATTACAATTCTTAATCCAGTTGCCTAGTAATAAGCACTGTTAAAATTATGATCTTTCTATATATGCTACATTTTTTTTTTAATTAAAGGAACCATATGTATACCAGGGGATGAAAACTCACTTGCTTTGAGGGACAAATGAATTCTAAATGAGTCAAGTGGTGAGCATAGCCTTCATCTGAATTCTTTCCTATTCATGTCTTTTACAAACAAAACATTTCTGTTGGCAGATTTGTGACATAAGCATATACTTACCTGTCCCTGAATTTCACAGCTTGTCTCTTCCAACCCGCTCCAGTATTAGTTGAACCCAGAGCCTCACATGTGCTAGGCAAGTACTGTACCACTAGGCTACATCCCAGTTCCCCTGTTTCTTTCTTTCTTTCTTTTTTCCTTCATGTTTTATTTGAGATGGTCTTGGTGAGTTGCTGAGGCTGGCCTCAAACTTGATTTCCTCCTGCCCTCAGCCTCCTTAGTAACTGAGATTACAGTATGCACATTGCACCCAGCTTCTATATGCTATTAAAAGTTTTTATGCACCATGATTTTAATAGTTGGATCACAATTTGTCATACTGATATACTGTAAAACTGGGAAAGTCATGGGAAATGGGCCTATTTCCAAATTATGATTATCAGCAATCTTTCATATACATTTTGGTGTCTAACTCTGATTATTTTTCTAGAGTAAATTCTTAGAAATGGTATTTACAGGTCAGAGTATGACTCCCCCCCCCCCCCCCAGTATGACTTTTTTGAAAAGTTTTTTCTAGGGTAACATTTACCATGCTCTAACACTTTCCTGTCAAAATGAAGTGATGGTGGTGGTGAGCCTGGAGGCGGCCCCATGGACTCCCAGCCTCGGGCTCAGGCCCTGTCTCTTTTCTCTGGAGTTGGGAGTGCTGGTTAACTTCAGACTAGCTGTCTCTCCGGCTGAGACATTTCAGCTCACGTGGCCAGACTGGGTCGGGCTTGGCTGGGGGCAGGGTGGCCTCCAGGGAGGGATTGGTGAGCTCAGCCAGGCTGGCGTTGTGCCCAGTGAGCTCACTGCCTCCAGAAGCCCCGCCTGTCTTTCCCAGACCCCGCCTCCTAGGCCTGGCCTGTAGCTGGGAACGGTCTGTTCCCGCCTGCACAGCGGGAGACTGAGCCTGCTCAGAAGATCTCTGCTCACTGACCTTGTTCTCCACACCCTCCCCTCTGCATCGCATCGGGAACCCTTAAAATTACCTAGAAGGATACCAAACAGCCCAGAGAGCAATAGGTTGTTTTCATCCTGACATGGAGTTCTTGCCCCTGAACTGAGGGGGGCATGCTGACACTGTCTGTGGCTTTTTCAAGGAGGCGTGTTTTTCTATTTCCTGGATTCTGAACTCTTCAGAGTCCCTGACCATGAAGTCAGAAGGAAGACAGGGTAGCAGCTTCTTGACCTCTGAATCTCCAGGCTTGGCTAGAAATGAGTATTTGAGCCCATTCTGAGAGTGGGTTGCAGTGTGTGCTGCTGCTCTTGGGAAGGGGCCAGGGGAGGAATTCCTTGGGTTTTCCCCTCCCAATTCTTACCTCACAGATGGAACTGAAGGCCTGAATCAGCCTGGGAGTCCTGGGATTTCAGGAGATGCCTCTCTTGCTATATAACTGGGAAAAGTCTCTGTGGGGGCACTTCAGTGGTCAGAGGCTTTTCCTGGCTCCAGGCTGTGGTCTTGGCCACAGTGATCAGAGAGCTCAAAGCTTGACTTGTAGACTCCTAACTGTTAACCACTGTACCAGCTATTTCTGTTCAGTTCCAAATGAGCAGCACAGGTGGTAGGACAGTGAGGAGTGAGAAAGAAGTCCCATGGACTAGAGCAGTCTGGGAGGACTTCCTGGTGGAAGGGCAAACTCTTCCTCCCACATCCCCTAGTGCTGGCATCTCTCCTTGAGCTCTCACACATGATGAGCAAATACATCACCACTGAGCCTACCAGTAGTCTCAGAGGCAAGCGGCAGGAACCCACTAGCCAGAGACCCACTAGTGGCTGCCTCTCTGATCCCAGGAGCATTTCTGCCCCTGGACCTAAGGCAACCTCTTGTTCTCCCTCTCATTTGGAAGGTTTTATTGCCAACCTCTCAGTGCAACGGCAATTCTTCCCCACTGATGAGGATGAGTCGGGGGCTGCCAAAGCTTTGATGAGACTTCAGGACACATACAAGCTGGACCCAGACACTATTTCCAGAGGGGAGCTTCCAGGTAACTCAGTGCTCCGGGCTTTGCCTGTCCTGCTTGTGTCTCTTTGCTGGCTGGACAAGGCAGAGGCAGTGTACGGTCTCTGCCTCTACTGATGATCCTTGTCTTGGATCCCCATTCGGTACTTGTCCCCTGTCCCGTGATAGCTGCTTCCCCGCATCCCCTGCCTGCCACTTCCTTCCATGCACTATCCAAGGTCCTCCCTCTCCTCTTGTGTCTCAGAGAACGCTGAGGCTACTGTCAGGAACCCTGCTGGTCTCTGTCCCAGAGCACCATAGATCCACGGCCAGACCTGCTTCCATTTCCCACCCTCCTGATTCCCCCACCAAGGCTGATCTCTGAACTCTCTGCCCTCTCTCCTATGTCCCCTCAGTTAAGTCTCTGCTCCTGTTCATTCTGTCCTCACCTCTCTGGGGTCTCTCCTTGAGCTCATACAGATGCTCTATTCTTGCTCATTCCCGAACTCCTCCTTCAGGGTACAAGACTGTTTGGTCTCTGCTGTGGTCAGTCTCCTCTCCCCTCCTGGTTGGCTACCGGATAGAGCGATTCACACTCTTTCTCCTCTTCTAGTTCCTCTGTACTCCTGACCCCATCGTGCCTTTGTGCCTGCTGTCCACCAACCCTCTGGGGCTGGTAAAGTCAACAGACATTTCAGGCATGATATTCTTTAACTTTTCAGCAACATTAGGCACATTGATTGCCTCATTTTGCCTGATATTCTCCCCTCCTTTGAATTCTGGGATACTGATATTGGCTTCTTCTCTTTTGGCCTCTCTGGTCATTTGTTCTTTCTTTTTAAAACCAGTTCCTTCTCCACTGACTTCCTCAATGTAAGTGTTTGTAAGAAGATAAGCTGGGTTTGGAGAGCTTTTCAAGAACAATAAACCTAGGGATTCCATTGTATCTCATTAGACCTTGGGTGAATCTCACTTGTGGGTCACCAGAGAAGATACAAACAGATCCATAGTGTGTGGAATCTTTCTCCCTTTTTAGGGTTTCTGTTACTGACTAGGTGTGGCCTGGGGCCTTGGGTCTGATGAGGTAATAGGAGGGGATGTGAACTTCTTATTTCTACCTCAGTCAGGTCTTGAACCAAGCTATACCATGAGATCCAAGATAGAATACAGCTCAGGACACCTGCAGGGTCTTTTTGCTCTGTAGCTGTGCAATAGGTTGGTGGGAAGAGGGTGCTACACTCTGACATGGACACTCAGTTCACACACCTGTGAGTGTCCTGAATGGGGAGGCAGGACAGAAGGGAGTTACTCTCTAGGATTTAGTTCCTACAAGCCTTCCCCAGGTGAACCCAGCAATTTTCATCCTTTGAGGTATTTCCCATCCATGGTTGATTTCTGGATCCGTGTTTCCCACCAAGACAACCTCTTGAGCTTCCAACCAGTGTCAGCAAATGCCTGTTGGCTGTCTATGCTTAGATATTCCATGGACTTCTCAAATTTCATGTGTCCTAAATTGAAATCCTTACCTCCTTTGAGTGTTTACCCAATTCCTTCACCACTTACCTCAGCAAGAAGCATCTCCTCTTATTTGCAGCCTAAGCCAGAATCCTGAGGCCCGTAGAGTCTACTTCCCTAATGTCTTCTGTACTTGTCCCCTCACTACTGCCCCATGACCGGCTAAGATACCAGCTGACTTATTATGTATTCACATTTGCACATGATATAACAATATAATTTATCACTATTGTTGCCCAGGATTTCCCTTTTCTCCCTTGTCCTCTTCCTCTTGATCTCCCTTCTATTTTCATGAGACCATCACTCCCACCCCCTTTTTTTTCCTTTTTCCTCTCTAAGTTCCCTATATGAAAGAAAACATACGGTCCTAGACTCTGGGCTCTGAGTTTTGGTTATTTCATTTAACATAAGTTTCTCAAGTTCCATCCATTTTCCTGCAATTGTCCAGCTCACTTTTTAATCCCATCCTCCATGTTGTCTTTAGCACACTAAAACCTGGTCACAGTGCTTAACTTTCAGGGATAAACCCAAACCCCTCCTGTGTGGAGTCTTTGAGGTCCCACTGTCTCCCTGGCCTCCTTGCCCCTGGTGCTCAGCTTCTCCTTTGCTCAGCTCCTTGGTTCCTCCCATTCCCTCTGCAGGAATACCTTTACCCCTGCCAGCTGGGCTGCTCCTTGTCTGATTGCCTTTCCACACACAGCTCAGCAGTAACTCTGCAGGGCCCACTCTCCAAGGAGCAGACATTCAAGTTGCCTTTTGGGAGAGATGCTGAGTGCCTGAGAGCCATTCTTAACATTCTTGGTATCTGTGAGACATGTTGATAATAGCTACCCGTCATTAGCATCCTGAGGATCACAGGAACCATCTTCATATATCATCTCATTGAATTCTTGGCCTATGTCTTTTAAAATCGGTGTTATTATCTCTGTTTAGGTGGATATTATCTCTATGTAGATAGGAGACTGAAACTTAAGCTAGGTAGGCTCCTGGGACTACAGAGCTAGCCAAAATATGTGGTGGGGTATGGAGAGGGGAAAGAGGCCCTAGGGAACCAAACCCTGGCCTATCTACATCTCCGTCTTGTGATTACTCTCCCCAACTTTCTATTCTACATTGTTGGTTCCTAAGCCACCCAGTTTCTGACATGGGCACTTCCTACTGCAGAAGGAATTTCCTTTTGGGCAGAGGTCCATCTTGGATATCAGGCAAAGGGGGCCCACTCTGAGGCAGTTCTTTCATATCAACCATGTCCACGTGGCTGTTAAAAGGGCTTTGGGGGGACTCCTGTGCTTTCCAGTAAGGGTCACAGCCCTCCTTGTTCTCATGGGATCTGCTTTCTTGTTATTCTTAGAGGAACACATAGAGTCTTTCCATCTTGAGTCTGCCCAAACCTTTCATTTCCCTATAGCCACTGCTCTTGGCTTGAAACTGTCTTCATGGTCACTTTCTAGTGCTCAGCTCACAGCACATGACCTGAGGTCACAAGGCCTGCTGAGTGGTGTTCACCAAGGTCCTTGCTGCCTGATGGCCAAAGCCAGGACTGCAGCCTTGGCTCTCGGCCTCCCTCTGCATCTGTCACGCTGCTCCCATTCCTTCAGTTTCTCCTATGTCTTAGTCGCTTGTTGATGTTCTGTATCCTCTGTCCTTTCTGAGTGTGTGCTCCCCAGGGCTCTGGCCTTGGCCACCTTCTCCACTCTTCCCTCAGACATTTTTTACATGTGATTATCCTCATGTGTGGCTTTTGCTGCCATCTAAATTTGTTTCTTCAGTTAATTTTTCTGTCCCCCAGCTGCCCACCCGATGTCTTCTCCTGTGTGGCCCACAGGATCTTCACACCTTCAACACTACTTCTTGGTGGGCTTCCTGGGGTCCCCCATAACACAGCTCCTCCCCCTTGGGAGAAGGGGAGTCTAAGGCTGGGAGATTGGCTGTAAACCCCAACCCAAGGCAGAGCCTACCTGTCTGTGCTTACTGTATCAGTGGCATGTTGGAGCTTATGGTCTAAGGCTCTGGTGGGAACCTCCCTCCATAACCCAGTGTTTCTTTTTTTGGAGGCTGACTGTTGGACTCTCCTGCTGTAGGAACCAAGTACCAGGCCATGCTGAGCGTGGATGACTGCTTTGGGATGGGCCGCTCAGCCTACAATGAAGGGGACTATTACCACACGGTGCTGTGGATGGAGCAGGTGCTAAAGCAACTTGATGGTGGGGAGGAGGGGACCGTGGCCAAGGCCCAGGCGCTGGACTACCTGAGCTATGCCGTTTTCCAGTTGGGTGACCTGCACCGTGCTGTGGAACTCACCCGCCGCCTGCTCTCCCTTGGTAAGGAGATTAAGGGAAGGTGAGATGGAGATGGGGAGCTGGCAGGGGAACTGGATAGACTCTGCTGGACATACCACTTGACACTTCTTTGGGGATCGAGTCAGTTTGACCTGTCACCTGGCCAGTGACTGATGGCATATTCCAACTGCCAGCTAGCTCCTTACCCATTAGCCCTTGCCCATTGCTGATGGGTGTACTCAGGTCTGGGGTGCCTGTGATACCTGTGGCCCTGCATGCTCCCTTTCTAACTAAGGACCCAGTCAGTGCTGTGGTACATTTGACACTTGGCAGGGTGGAACCACCACTGTGTCAGGAGTAGCTTTCGATGCAGGCTGTCCATCAGGGTCACTGTGGTACCAACTAGTTGGAGGTCTCAGGTCTCACTGGTGCCTTCAAAACCCATCTGTGGCACCTCTTACATGGGAACATTGTCATCTGGAGTTTCAGAAACTGGCAAAGCCTTTTTTATGCCACTGCTTTCCGTGGGGGCCCTGAGTTGGGTGTTCAGCTAGCATATGACCTATGTGGGAAAAGATCTTTGTAGATTCTCTCAGGTGAGTCAGTAAGGGCCTTGGATGAGGAGTTGGGGCCCCTGGATTCTTGTTCTATAGAATCTCAACCCAAGTCACTCAATATCTTTGAGCCTCAGTTTCCTTACCTGAGGAGTATCACAGAAATCCTGCCACGCCTGTTTCTTTGGATGCTGTGGCTGTTCTTTTTGCTGGTGTTACAGCTTGCTTCTAGCTGTGGCCAGGGCACAGCATAGTCTCCAGCAATGCCCGCAGTCTGGGGAATGGCTGTAAATGGAGATATGGCTGTCAAGAGGAGGAGGCAGGATCAGGACTGCTTCTCTGGACTGGGGACCTTGGGACCTGCAGGGAGGCCTGGAGAGGAAGTCTCCTCCGTGGCTGGCTAGGGTTCCCCTCCTTTGATGGTGCTGCTCTCTCAGCTCTGACCGCGATGGGGAGTCCTCTGTTGACTCTTTGGCTCTCACCCACACACCTGGATAGGTGCTGTGGAAGGCAAAACCTGCAAGGGGGCTGCTGGGAAAGAAACCACTTACTGAATAATTTATCTAAAAAACCTAACAGATGTTTGTGGTTTCCTTTTCCTTCTCATTCTTTGCTTTTTCTAGACCCAAGTCATGAGCGAGCCGGAGGGAATCTGCGGTACTTTGAGCGGCTGTTGGAGGAAGAAAGGGAAAAACAGTCGTTAAATCAGACAGAAGCGGTGCTAGAAACCCAGGGAGGCCTCTACGAGAGGCCAGTGGACTACCTGCCTGAGAGGGACGTGTATGAGAGCCTCTGTCGTGGGGAGGGTGTCAAACTGGTGAGTTGTGGGAGAGGGCACAGTGCCCAGACTGTAGACCTGGATGTCCGAGGTGGGCAGGCAGGCCTAGGAGGATGTTCCACTATGTGTAGATACTTTTTTTTTAGCATCTCCCCCAGTTCTTGGTAGCGTCTGCTGAGGCTGATGTGTGGGTGTTCTCTGAGGTGTAGGGCTGGAGAATTTCCCTGATGCCCCAAGTAGAATTTCCATCCTCTCAGTTATTACTGTACTCCTCTCCATACCCCAGTGTGCCCAGCCTTTGCTCATCTCACTGTTATGAAGAAAACATGGGTAAGGATGTGCTTCAGGTCCCAAGGGAAGTCCCAGTGTAGTGGAGGGTAAGTCTCTGTGGTAAAGACATAGCAATTGCTGGAGCTTGGTATCGGTACCACTGGTTTGGGGAGCCCTGGGCTTCCAGTGCTTCCTCACAGAGGTTCAGGTGTGAGGCAGGCTCTTGCCTTTTCCATGCCCGTCCACTTGGCTCCCACTGACTCCTCCCCTGGAAAGGCTTCTCCCTGCCCACCCTCCAGACCTATTTGAATCTCTGAGAAAGGGTCAGGAATTACCTTCTGCCACAGGACTCGTGGGCATGAGGTGATCTTGAGAGAGAAGAAAAGCTACATGGTTTGTGGTTTGTCACTTCATGCCAGTCACCCTGAGACGTGTTTCATTTCTTCTGTGGCAGGGAGGCAGGGAGCAGCAGCTGGTCATGGGTGTGAGACAGCGTCTGCAGACAGCTGAGCTGGGACTGAGGTTAAGGGATCTCTCAGCTCAGGGTCTGTTATTTTGTGCTCCCCAGACACCCCGGAGGCAGAAGAGGCTTTTCTGTAGGTACCACCATGGCAACAGGGTGCCACAGCTGCTCATCGCCCCCTTCAAAGAGGAGGATGAGTGGGATAGCCCGCACATCGTCAGGTACTATGATGTCATGTCTGACGAGGAAATCGAGAGGATCAAGGAGATTGCAAAACCCAAAGTAGGTGTCTCTCTGTTGGTCCTCGTAGGGGTGCTAAAGGGGACAGCTTCTCTTTCATCTCTAACATCATGGGGCAGTTTGTTTACCTAGTCAAGACCTTATCACTATCTAGCATGAGTCCACTGTGGGGTTACTGAGACAGGTCAGACTCAGCCTGACCTGTGGGTTCATGGACTAGTGGGAAAGAAAAATGAGGGAATCAATGTGGACCACCAAGCACTACAGTAGGAGGTCATTCTGGGAGCAGGGCAGGCTCATAGAGAGAGGCCCTGGTTGGGGGACTGACGTGGAGGTCAGTTTTTTTTTAGAAAATATTCCATAAGGCACTGGGAAGGTGGGTCCTTTGGCACTCCTGACTGGGACTGCAAAGAGGTAATTGACTTGGAGGAGATTGTTCATCTGTACAATATTGGGTTTTCTTCTCCCGGGGCATTCCAGGGGCTGGGTCTTTCCATTTATTCATTTTTTGGTAAGTTTATTCATAGATGGCTTTTTTATTCCTGTAACTTTGCTTTTTCTATATTTTAGCTGGTTACATTATTATGTATTAAACTTGATTTAAAAATGTATCTTGTAATACTAGCTAATTGTTACTGAGTTCTTAAGGTGACAGGATCTGTTCCTAAATGCTTAACATATATTAACTATTATGTGTATTTAGTAAACTGTGACTCTGGCTTTATTTCACCCTTGAAGAAGCTAACCTGTGAGGTCATGGGTGGTGGTTGAACTCACTTATTCCCTTTTTGATTTTTAACTGATTTTCTTGGGTACATGTCATATCACCTACAAATAAGAAAAATTTTGCTATCTCCTTCCTAATACTTATATTTTCTTTGCTTTTGTGTCTAATTGAATTGCCTAGAACTTCTGAAGCATTATTACAATAGGCATCCTGCTTCTTTTTGAATTTCTTGGAAATTCCTCTGGTGTTTTGCAGCTAAGTGTGCAGTAGGCTGTTTTTTAAATTATGTGTGTGTGTGTGTGTGACATGATAAAATTATTATTCTATTTCTAGTTCATAAAAGTTTGCTTCCATTTATAATCATCCACCACAGATGATTGGAAGGGAGGATTTACCTGAATTTTCTTTTTCTCTGCTCCTAGTAGAATTGTAGTAGCCAAGGTGGCCAGGAAGCCCAGTGCTCCTGGAAAGAGTCCTCTCCTGGTCCCTGGAAATCATTTGAAACAACTTTGGGTCAAGGTCCTAGGACATCTAGGGGTTAGGGTCACTTGGTATCATTGATGGGGCTAAGGGCTGATCTAGCTAGTATGTGTAGAGGATGGCTACTAGGCCCCCTCTTCCCACCCTCTGGGAAGCTCCAAAGTTCTTCAGGGAAAAAAACTACTTTTCTAGGTTCCAGGTGAGAGAGGCACTGGATTCCTTTCGTATCCCTCAGTCCCAGACATTGAGAACTTTTCCGTGTATATCACACACACACACACATACACACACACACACACACACACACACACACACACGGCAGGGCTGGGGGAGGGAGCAATGGGAAAATTTGCCTTTGAACAGGAGCCATGTGAAGTGCCAAATGTGTTGGCCATCATGAGCTGACCTCTCCTTTCCGGAGGCTATGAGGGACAGATGCTATTCTGGCTTTGAAGTTGGGCCAGTGAGCTTAACTTGTCCTGTCGGGAATGCCTGGCAGCTGCCTGTGGATACCCAGACTGCTTTCAAAATAGCCCTGTCTGTCCCCAGGGGCACAGCACAGTTGCCCAGAGTCTCTTTGTGGGCACCAGGCCAATGGTGAGGCTCAGATGTTGGGATGGGGTCTAGCTGTGGTTGCATCTGTTATCAGGGAAGGACTGGCATCACTGAGTTCAGGAAAGACCCTCAGATAGGAGCTCAGGGAAGCCATCCATCCTGGTATGCTGGCCACCTTATTAGAACACGTAACAACACGGTGTCTGGGGGGTTGATTTCACCCCCTGACAGACTTTTGATCTGTCCACTCTTTTCCATCCCTTCTGCTCTGGCCTCCTCATTAGCCAGCTCCTTCCCACTCCAGCCCTCCTTGCTCAGCTCCCCACAGGGTGTTCCCAGGGCTGCTCCCCTGCATAAAGCCTGCCCTGTCTCTCGTGGGCCATAAGATTGCATCAGACTCGGTGCCTGCTGTCCACTCAGTCTCATCTCTCTCCTTCACATAACCTCTGATCCACAGTCAGCACCACATGCTTTTTCATCCCTGGGCCTCTCTATCACTGCCCTTTTGCTGTTCCTGGAGTGCTCTCCTCCTTGGCTAACTCTTACTTACCCTTCCAATCTCATCTCGGTGATTCCTTTCTCCAGGAAGCCATTCTTGATTCTGAAACATGAAGTTCACTTGTGCATGCTGCAATTACTTGACTGGTTTTCTGCTTTCCTCTCCCCCACTCAATTTGAATGAAATGAGGGTGAGATCCATGTTTCTCAATCACCTAGCACATAGTAGGCACTTTTCACATATTTACTTCAAGGGAAAGTGCTTTGGAGTGAGGTAACTGGGCCTATGGCCCCACCCATGTGAGCCCATTAGGACAGTCCACAGCTGAAGCACATGGACGCTTGCCCTGGAGTCTGGCTTTGAGTAGTGGGTTCCTCCTGGCAGTAGCATTAAGCCTCTTAATGGGAACTGGGGAGATGAAGTAGGTGAGGGGTGTGTGTGTGTGTGTAGGTTGGGGTGGGTGGCTTCAGGTAGTCATTTATTTATTTCAACTTGATAATCCCTTTCCTGGTTTTATCATCTGACTTTATGAGACTCCCGAGGGAGTGAAAACTGTGTGTCTGTCTCTCCTCTTGCAGCATGGGAGCCCAGTGTGAGGGGGTGCATCAGGAGTGTGTTTGCATGGGTTTCTTGGCAGAGGAGGCCACTGAGGTTCAGAAGCATATAGAACTTGACCAAGTCAAGAGGGGCACACAAGGGGAGGCTCAGGGATCATGGCACAGTCCCAATGTGGTGGGAGCAGCTAAGCTCAGCTATGCTTATGCAGGATGATCTATGGGTCTGGCAAAGAGGGAGGCTGTCTAGGCAGACACAGAGGTGGACAAAGCCAAATCCATAGGCATAATTCTTCAGGTAGCACAGACCTGGGAGGAGGAGGGATGAGTAGTGACCAAGCAGGGGAGTGGCCAGGGTCTGATAGCAGAGAGGGAAGGTGGAGGCCTCAGATTCCTGTTCTGGCCTGGCCTACAGGGACATGGGGTCTTGACTAGAGTCACTGCCTACAAAGTTGTTTCTCCCACCAATGGGGCTGGCTGATTTGGTCCCAGTGCTCTCTGAGAAAAACACAAGGCCAAAAAGGGTAAGTCTGCCCTGTCTTCCTGACCTCCAGCTTGCACGAGCCACAGTTCGTGATCCCAAGACCGGTGTCCTCACTGTTGCCAGCTACAGGGTTTCCAAAAGGTAAGAAATGGTGGTGGTATGTGTGGGGGTGCTGTTCAAGTCCCAACTCACAGGCTTCCCAGTACCTACCCAATGGAGGGGGGCTTGGCACCTCCACACCCTCCTATAGCACTCACTCTCTTCTGCCTATTAGTGCTGGTGTTGATGCTGGGAGAGAGCACAGGACCTCATCTAAGTCTGACTTCCCATTTTCTTTTACCTGTTCTCTTCTTTTGTCCCAGCTCATGGCTAGAAGAAGATGATGATCCTGTTGTAGCTCGAGTAAATCGTCGGATGCAGCACATCACAGGGTTAACAGTAAAGACTGCAGAATTATTACAGGTATAAGCTGGTCCTTGAGACCATAGGAGTTGGGAAGGGGGAATATCTGGCTAGATGGTCTTTCCAGGTACACACACTGGATCTAGGAAGGCTTGCTTACTAAACAGTTTAACTGCACTATGCCGTGAACATGGAGTGCTCTTGTACTGGGGAAACCAGAATTCATAATATCTATTGTATTCAGCAGTTAACATGATATGGACAAATATTAGCTGAGCATCTATTGTGTGCTCAGGTACCATGCTGGGGTGGAGGATCAGTAGTAGTCATAGCAGCCTTAATCATAGCTTCTTCACTACCTAAGTTCAAATCCTAGAATTATCTTCCAAAGTTACAATTCTGTGTCCTAGTCAAATGCGCTTGGAGATAAGATAAAGTGTTCTGTGATATGTTGCTAGGAAAAATGAGAGTCCTGGACTGGTTTGCTGGTGAAGGAGGAATGTTCTTGTCTAAGTACTCTTATTGAGATTCTGGCTTCTTGCCTTCATTTCCAAGGTGATCAGGAAGAAACATGGTGGCAGCATGCTGAGAGGTTCTGGGTGATGCTCCTTCACAGTGTGTTCTTGTGGGCACCAACTTCAAGTCAGCACTGGCTTTCTGTCTTCTGAACAACAGAACTCTTGGGTTCTTTTATAAAATTATAACCTGAGAAACTATCATAGAAGTTTCACTGGCCTCATTTTAGAGTCCCTGGATCTCTGTTTGGCTAGAGTGTCCGTGCATTTAAGAGTAGCATCCTTCACCTTTCAGGCTGATATGTGGGTCTGACCAGCTATAGATTTCATTAGAATATTGATTGGAGGTCATTTGGGAAGGATTCTCTCAACCTTGACTTGGACATATCCAAGCAAAACAGCATTCACATTTTCCGCCCTCTTTTGGAAGCTGCATCTGCAATCAGAAAACCGGTTTCAAAGGTCATCATAATGGATTTGTGTGAACTCCAACAGAGTTTTCAAAAACACAGGATTATAAACAGTGTATTTGTAAAACAGTCTTGTGAAAATTTTTTTATAATTTTTCAGTTCAACTCAACTTAGTGTTGTATGGGTTTAAAATAAGTTCTGCAGACCAGCAACACAACAGGGGACTTCTGCCACATCACCTACTTTGCCTCTAATGCATTAGAGAACCACCATTTCAAGAAGATAGGAGCTCTTCACACACTACATGCATCTCTGTTGACATTATCTTGACTTAAGTCTTCTTGGAGTAGGTTTTTGTTGTTGTTTTAAGACTTCTGCCACCACTTCTTTCACATCAGAGCCAGTGTTCAGCGCTCTCCTGGTCCTGAAGGACAGCAGTCTGCTTGATTGGCTGATTCTGTACCAGGGACCACAGGGCTGAGTGGACAGGACCTGTGCCTCTATTGCTGTCCTGGCTGGCTTCCTGTCTGCACTCTCTGTACCTCTGTCTCACCCTCAACCGTGGAAGACAACAGCCTCTTGCTATGGACTGGCTTCTCTGCTCCAACCTTGGCTTCATCTGTCTGGCCTCTCATTGTGTTTTAACTTAATCATCTGGTGTTTGAATGTCTCAATTCTCAGTGGAGGGCCCCTTAGAGTAAGGGCTCTTCGGAAGATCTAGCCCAGAGTTCCCAAGTGACTGAGATACCGATTTTGTTTACATTCTTCCTCTGGGAACTATTATGGCATTTTATTTGACAGCCAGTGGTATTGTGAAAGCTTTGATCTTACCTCATCTGGGGAACAGGAACCTTGATTTCAGGATCTGCTCCTGAGTGCCCATTCTACAGGTACTGCTTGTGATATGATAAATACCTAGGCACCAGCAGCAGCCTATGCACCAGGGCCCCTTTGGAAATGCTACAGTCTTTTGGAAAGGAGCTGGCCCTTCTGCTACCTGTCAACACTCTTAGCTTTAGTTGATGTGTTTGCTCTAGACCTTTTGGGAGAAAAAGGGCAATTAAGGCATTCTTATGAATGGATGGGGACCTGTCTAATGGAGGAGGAGATGCTACCTACACCTTCAGGATTCTCCAAGATTCAAGACTACTGGCTTGGTGATGTCTTAGCCTACTAGGTGGTTCCTAACTTTTTTTTTCCTTCACTCTGGTCAGCATCATAAATACCCGTGTCTTTCAAATGGCTGACTCTACCTTATGGCAACAAGGAATCTAAAATGTTCATACGCATACCTTCTCATAGGGATCAGTTTTGATATATAGTTGCTTGTTATTAAAGGAATGGATCTGGGGACCTGAGTGTGCAGGGATGGTGAATTTGATTGCTGCAAACCCAGAAACTCCTGCGACTTCTGTACTTGTTTGAGGACCATATTAAAGAGTGTAGGGACAGTGGTTTTAGCACTGATCAAATATAATTGTCCAAACTGTTAAATGGTGTGCCAGCTATTGCAGTGCAACTTCTTTCACTGTCTGGAATCTCAAAGTTTAGTCACTTTATCCAAGGAGCAGATGAGTTAGAAAGTGCAATCATGCTCTGCAGCCGCCACAACAAGCAGGGATGGAAATCTCTGGAGTTCATTGGCATGCCAGTCACAGCATGTCTAGAATTTTCTTTAAGGTCTTGTCTAGAATGGATACCAAGAAAGGATACATTTGTGAAAATATGTAATAGCATTTCCTCATAGACTCTCTCTAGCACTTCCCTCCCTAAAATAAATAAATGTGCCTCCAGCCCCGAGTATCTGCTGTACCAGGCTTCCTTATGTTCTTGACAGAATCTCAGGTAATCCTGGTGCAGAAATCTTGGAGGCTGAAGCAATGGAATGACAGCGTATTTTCATTCTGCCATGGTTATTTACATCAAAATTTTTATTTTTGTATACATGAAAAGATACACTGCCCAGATTTTGCATTTCATCATATTTAGCAAACATCATTTGTGCTCCAACTGGAGGATTTTCTTTCTTGTAATGTCCATCCTCCCTTTTTCTCCCATATCTGAAGATCTCCACTATTGCCCGTTTTGCAGCATCTCTCTCCTGACTGTTAGAATGGCCAAAAAAGATACACAAAAGATACTGACTTTGTGAGAACTAGTGGCTGAGCCCTAAAGGTTTTTAGGATTTCAGTAAAAAACAGTGACCAGCTATTCCTAGATAGATTTATGGTGCCACTTGATTTATCAAGGGGATCATGTCAAATTATGCATTTTCTTTTAAACCTTGTCTCTTATTTTAACTACTGAAGCTAAAGTAACTTTGTGATCTTGGATGTTAAATTGTGTCTACATACTATTCATAAAGGCATTGCAATTTCTAATCCAATTAGTGACACCCTGTAGTTGCAGAGGCTGCTGTGATTCAGGTGCAGGCTTATTCTGGGAATGCTGAGGTGATATACCAATTCTTGGCCACCTGGTAACTGGTCACCATGCCCTGCTGCTTCACTTGGGAGCAGAAGTGCTCAGTGCAGTGCCCCACTTGGCCTGACCAAGAACTGCTGCTTAGAAAAGGAGGCAGGAGCAATACCAGACTCGGAGTAGCTCCAAAACTAGTGTTAAAAAAAGAAAAATCTCAAGTCAGGTATAGTGACATGTTCTTGTAGTTCCAGCTACTCAGGAAGGTGGAAGGATGGCATGAGCCTAAGAGTTTGAGGTCAGCTTGGGCAATAGAGTAAGACTCTGTCTCAAAAAACCTCTACTTGGAGTTTGGTGTTGGCTTTTTTCTTGGATCACCTTCTCATTTCCTCCCAAACAAACTGGGTCCAGACCAGGGCCTGCCTCAAGAAGAGCTCCCTCTTGAGCCATCTGAGTATTCTTGAAGGGCTGGTGCTTCTCTACAGTGGCAGCCTGCAGGTCAGCCATCTTCTTCTTCTCAGGAAACCATTTATCCTTTTGGACACAGCTGTGGACATATCTGCAACACTCGTTCTGCCTGTGAAAGCGAGACATGCTTGTCTTCTACCTGAGAGGGGCTGTTCTTAGGGCATATGATTGTTTGGAGGCCTGGGGATGTGGTATCTCTGATAAGAGCCTGTTTATGCTGCTCACAAAATCCAATGCTGTTAAAATTTCTCACCAGGTTGCAAATTATGGAATGGGAGGACAGTATGAGCCGCACTTTGACTTCTCTAGGGTAAGACCCAGATCACTGGTGGTCTCAGAGGGCCCCACTCTAATTGATTTGAGAAGGCTGGAGCTTCTAGCAGCATTTCAGCCTCCATATCACCCCCCCTCCCTCCCTCCCCCTTTCTGCCTCACCAGGGGAGACTCTTTGTTACTGGTGAAGCCCAGTCTGGAGCCACAGGGTCTGTGGAGCCTGCCCTAACTCTGTTACTGTTTGCTTTGATTCTAGAGCAAAGGACCTCAGTAGGTCTCTGTGAAAATTATTCCTTGTCCTGATCAAAATTTCCTGTGTTGGATTGTCCTTTGTTCCAGGCTATTTTGGGGAACATCCACTTATTACCTTCCCCTGTCCCTTTGGCCCCAATCATTTGGGTGGCGGGTAAGTTGGTTGCAAACTTGGGTGAAAGTTGTTGTCTGTTGCAGCGACCTTTTGACAGCGGCCTCAAAACGGAGGGGAATAGGTTAGCGACGTTTCTTAACTATGTAAGTACTGGGTCCAGGCCCACTTGTCCACTCTCACTTAATTTTATAGAACCATGAACAAGATGTTTTCAAGCATTTAGGGACTGGGAACCGTGTGGCCACATTCTTAAACTACGTGAGTATCATGTGCAGCTTATGGGCCCTAAGGGGACCGTGGGTCCAGAAAGCTCTCTTATATCCCACCCTCCTCAAAGCTGATGCCACCCGCTGTTGGCTAATGGTCCTTTTGTCCCTCAGTGCCCTTCTTGGCTGGAGTAGAGAAAGTTGGTTTCTGTTCTCATCGTGTAGCCCCTAGTCCTATGACTTTATCCCTGCTCCTCCCCCCCCCCCATTTTTTTATTGTGATAATATACACAGAACATAAAAGTTATCATCTTAATCATCTCTAAGTGTACTTCAGTGGTATTAAATTCATAACATCGTGTAACCATTACCACTCTCCATCGCCAGAACTCCTCTCCTCTTGTAAAACTGAAACACTGTTCCTGTTGAACAGTAATTCCTGGGTCCCCTCCCACAGCCTTGTCAACCTCTATTCTAGTTTTGATGACTCACATCACATAACCTCGAGTAAATGAACTCATAGAGTAGTGTGTGTGTGTGTGTGTGTGTGTGTGTGTGTGGTTTATTTCACTGAGCACAATCTCCTCAAGATGCATGTGTGTTGTAGCATATTCTGCCTCCTATTTGATGGGCCCACTGCCACTCTGGACTTTCAGGATAAGTGCTCTGGAGGGATCCTCCCTTGGCAGCAGAGTGAGGATGTGGTCACAAGGTGCTCTTAGCTAAAAGCAGCCTTTGTTTCCCTACAGGCTGGGGGGCCCTCTCCCCACCTTGCTGCAAGAGCCTGCCCTAAAGAGGCATAGAGGCTGTCAAGGAACTTAAGGGACAGTTTATTTTTTCCTTCTAAGTTTGAACTGTGTGGTTATTGCATGCTGGGGGCTATGCTGTGGATAAGTTGGTGAGCAAGGACATGTGGATAAGCTGGTGGAGAAAGAGTCACTTGTGGTGCTTGAGGTCTAACATGAGAGACTTACTTTAAACATAAGAGAAATGGTTATTTAGTTACTATGGGAACAAGTGCTGTGTAGAAGCCGCCCAGGCTTGGGGTTCAGAGAGGGCCTCCCTCGCGAAGTAACAGGTTGGCTGAGACTTAAAGATTGAATGGAAATTAGCTGGTGGAACGTGTTTCTGGCAGAGAGAGAATGTGTGTAAGCCCAGAAGAGCAAGGGGGCTTGAGATGTTGGAAAAAAGAAGAGGGCCAGTGTGTCTGGAAGGAGAGACTAATGAGACGGGCAGGCCTTGGGGTTTCCCTGAGTTTGATCCCCAGGACTGGGGGTGTCAGGGGGGTTTCATCTTATTCATTTAGCATGTGTCCATTGAGTGCTCCTCAGTCGGTCTGGTATGTGTCCTGTGGAAATATTTTTTAGTTCCAATTTTTATTAGGCAAAAAAGTAAGAGCCAGATGAGGAAGGAGTGATGCTTTGGCAGGAGTTGAGGCACCCTCTGTGGGTGTGAAGGCAGTCTTGCTACTCTGGATCTTGTGTGCAGTTTGTTTGGAGGCTCACTGTTGGGGAAAGCAGGACCTCTAGAGTCTCAGTGTCCCCCTTCCCCCTAGAGGGCAGCTTTTGTGGGACAGCAAGGGTTAGACTAGAGCAGCAAGCAAGCTAGGAGCCAGAGAAACAGCCCATACAGGTCCTCACCCACTAGCGGAAGCTGCAGGGAACTTCTGGTCAGGCAGTTTGCTGGGCCCAAGCTGGGTGGGGATTCAAGGAGGAATGTTCTGATTATAGACTCAAATTGCTCCCATTCAGGGCTTGCCTGGATGTTGGTCTCCTGCTTTTGAACATTGTAGCGTGGAGGCCATACTGGTGAACCACAGGGAGTAAATAGGTGGAGAAAGAGTCTTGTTTGAAGGGCTGGCCATGAGCAGAGCCTCCCAGCAGTGCCACTCATGCTCACAGGAGGGCGATCTGTATACTTTGTCATGATTCTTGTGACTCACTTGCTCTGAGATGCTTGGGTAGAGGCCAAACTCTATGCCTTGTGTTCCCAGATGAGTGATGTAGAAGCTGGTGGTGCCACTGTCTTCCCTGATCTGGGGGCTGCAATTTGGCCTAAGAAGGTAAGTTCTGATTCTTGTGGGTCAGAGGTTTTAGACCTGACTGTGTCCCCCAGTCCCATTGCCAGGCCTACTTGACCATCACTGTGATGTGCCTTAGCCCCTTCTTCCTTGTACTTTGGACCTGTGGTCCCAGCTTCTAACTGGGAGAAGGAATAGGGAGGGAAGTCAGATAGGTTTGTAAACATCCACCCACCATGAAGGGAGTCCCAGAACCCTACACAGGAAAATTGAAGATGTTTTTGCTCAGGACAGGGGTTCTAGGGTGTTCAGGGTCAGGTCTCTGAGCCCAGTCTCTAAGAATATGTTCTGATAGGACATCTCTTTCCAGGGCACAGCTGTATTTTGGTACAACCTTCTGAGGAGCGGAGAAGGTGACTACCGAACGAGACATGCAGCCTGCCCCGTGCTCGTGGGCTGCAAGTGGGGTGAGTGGCTTGAGGGTGCTCTTGGCTGTGGTGTTCTCAGCCAGAGCTTTGATGGTGGGGTCTTAGGCTCAACTGGGACACAACTGCTGAGACATAGCCAAGACTGTCTCCCTTCTGAGGTTTTTTTTTTTTTTTTTTTTTTTTTGCTAAGCGGTAGGGCCATTCAGTCCTGTAGCAGTCCACTTGGTTAAGTACTGAGACAGCTGGTTGAGAACACTCTCAGATGCCCAGAGAGCTACAATCACTGTAAGTCCAAGGCAGCTCTCCAGAGGAGCAGGCTCTGGCCAGGGCTCTGAGGGAGCAGAGGAGAGAGCTGGAAACAGAGAAGAGAAAACCCTTCCTCCTATCAGGCAGGTGAGGCACAGGCTTCATCTAGCATCATAGGTATGGAGGCTGCTGTCCTTGTCACTTGAGGAAAAGGAGACAAGAGACAAGGCTAGAGGCTGGGACCAAACTCTATAGACACTGAATTTGACCCTTATTCTGGAAACAGCTGTCCAAAGGTGGTCACACGAGTTTGGGGGGTAAATGGTAATAGCTTTAAAAAAAGTAAGAAAAAGAAAATGAGGTAGTTGCTGACTTCAGGAGGAAAACGTTGTACAAGAGAGCTGGGGATGTGGCTCAAGCGGTAGCGCGCTCGCCTGGCATGCGTGCGGCCCGGGTTCGATGCTCAGCACCACATACAAACAAAGATGTTGTGTCCGCCGAAAACTAAAAAATAAATATTAAAAAATTCTCTCTCTCTCTTTCTCACTCTCTCTTTTAAAAAAAAAAAGTTGTACAAGAAAGAAACTTTAACTGTAATCTACTAAATGTCTCAAATGTAGCATTAAAGTGACATACATAATGATGTAAACACTGTATATTTTTAATTAAAATTCATGATTTAACTATATATGCTATTTTTCACTATAAGCCTTATAGACAGTTTGTTCAATTAAGTACATGTGCTGCTTTCTTTTAAGTTAAATTTTATTTAAAAATCTCTATGATGGGCTGGATCTGTAGCTCAGTAGCAGAGCAGAGCGCTTGCCTTGCACATGTGAGGTACTGGGTTCGATCCTCAGCATCACATAAAAATAAACAAATAAAGGCATGCTGTCTACTTACAACTACAAATTTAAAAAAAAAAACTCTATGACTTCAGTGGTACACTAAAATAATTTTTTCTTTATCATGGGAGAGCTTATGTTTGAGGAACAGAATTTTGGTTTGTGTGCATTTAAGGCAGCATTAGGTGACAATGCTGTTCTAGCTCTGCTGCTCTGGTGCCACAGCACACAGACGTCCACAGGGCATGAGGCATCTGATAGCCAGGTCCTCTGCAGTGCGGACAGGCTTCCTCCTCCCCAACCTCTCAGCTTCTACCTGCTAGTAACATCAGGCTGTTTGAGGTCTTTAACGCAAGACAGAGTGATCCCTGCCTTCATGACTTTCTCCTCCTGCTCCCACTTTCTGCACCCAACCTTGGTGTTACATATAGCTTCATATTCCAGCCCTGAGGTCTCCTCTTCCCTAATTGGTCACATGCTCTTTGACTCTGTTCCCATGACAACCTCCACACATGTATCATGTCACTGGCAGAATTTTGTACAGTTACCTATTTACTCATGTATCTTCCTTAATAGCCCATGAACAACTTGAGGCCCGAGACCACGTCTTACTCAAGTCTGTTTCTCAGAGCACAGTGCAGGGGTCAGATATTAATTTTGGCTACTGAACTGACCAATGGGATTGTAACATACTTGCTTTCTGTTCACAGTCTCCAATAAATGGTTCCATGAACGAGGACAGGAGTTCTTGAGGCCTTGTGGAACAACAGAAGTTGACTGACGTCCTTCTCTGCCCTTCTCCTTCTGGCCCCACAGCCCAAGTCATCTTCCAGCTCAGCATGACAGATCCCTTTGTATGTTCCAACTCCTATCAGGCGGGTCTTTGGAAGAGTCAATGTTTGTTTGGCGTGGAGAGTGTACTGGTCTGGGTCCTGCGTGACCTCAGTCCCAGCCTCTGCATTCAGCCTGTGCCCTTTCTGGCCCCAAAGATAGCATTGGAGCAGCTGCAGCAGAGCCAGGCTGTCTAGCACCTAGCAAGGTGCCTTTGTACCTCAGATGTTTTAGATGTGAGATGTTTCATTGAACCAAAGTTCTGATACCTTGTTTACATGTTTATTTTTATGGTATTTTTATCAGTTGTGATTTTAACCAAAAAAATAAAATATCCCTGCCGGAAGCCTTAAAGAGCCTTATTTGGAATATTCTTTTAAGACCTGGGAGCTTTTACCATATTCCCCATTTTGTATGTGTTGCCTTGGTGCAGGCCAAGTCTGAGTGATGAATGTTTCAGCAGCAAAACCATAGCTTTGGGTTCTGTTTCAGTGAATTTTTTTGTCGCTGTGACCAAATGACCTGACAAAAACAATTTTAGAGGATAAAGAGCATTTATTTGGTATTCACAGTGCCTGAATCTATTGCTCTTGGCCTAAGGGGAGGTAGAATATTATGGTGGAAGGATGTGGAGGAGGAAAGCAGATCAGGACATGACAATCAAGAAGCAGAGAGCACTCTGTGCACCAGGAACAAAATATAAACCCCAAAGGTACGCCCCTAATAACCTATCTCCTCCAGCCACATTCTACCTGCCTACAGTTACTGCCTGGTTAGTCCACTTCAGGGGAGTAATGCACTGTTTAAGTTAAGGCTCTCATAACCCAATCATTTCACCTCCAAACCTTCTTGCATTGTCTCCCACATGAGCTTTTAGGGGACACTTCGTATCTGAACCATAACAGGTTCTAGACTGGGTTTAACACTTGTGATAACTTAAATGTCCTTTTCTGGCAAGTCAAGGTAAATGGTTTCTCCTTGTCTCCCAGATAATGGAGAGAACATGTATATTCAGGATTGTGATGCTGTCCTTATTTGAAATTTCTTATTTTTAAATTTTGAAAAATTTAAGATGTACATAGAGAATTGTTCATGGTGTAGGGATGTATCCTTTAGAATGTGAAGGGGAGCAGAGCACCTGTGTCACCAACCCCCAGCTGGAGACAAGAACTTTTCTATCAGTACCTTTGGTAGCCCCTCCCAGATCCCATCTCTTTTTCTGCATCTGGCACCTTGGTGGTAACATCCTCCAGAGACTTGTGGTAGTTGTTCCTTGCTTATCTTTGTAGTTTTACTGCCTTTGCCTAAATCTCTGAATATGTAGCTGTTTAATTTTCACTGATTTTGAGATTTTTATTAGTGGAATCAGACTATATACTTTTGAGTGTTTGGCTTCTTTTATTTGACATTGTTTTAAGATTCATCTGTATAGTTCATTCAGTTTTGTTGTATATTGTAAGACTATACCGTAGTATAGTCAATTACTGTTGATGCATTTGAGTTTGTTTCAGTCTTTGTATACTAGGAATAATGCTGTGATAAGCATTTTTATATATGATTTCCATTATGCATAAACACATTTTTTTTTTAGAACATACAGCTAGGAGTAGAAATGTGGACTTTTAGTAGGTGTGTCTTCAACTTTACCATAAAATATGTTCCAAAGTGGTTTTACGCATTCTCACCAGAAGTGATTAAAGTTCTTGCTACCCCTCATATTCCAATATCTGGTATTGTCATGACAAATGTGTTTGCATTTTAGCTAGTGTGGTGTGGACTGAATGTTGGCCTCCCCCATTATCCAGATTCCTATGTGGAAAACCTAACCCGAGGTGGGATGATGTTAGGAGGTGCGGCCTTAGGGAAGAAATTACATCTGGAGGATAGAGCCCTCCTGGATGGTGGTCTTATAAATGAGACCCAGAGAGCTCTCTCTCCCCCTTTCTGCCATGTGAAGACACAGGAAGAAGATGGCTTACTATGAACCACGAGACAGGCTCTCACCAGACACAAATCAGCCCATATCTCCATCTTGGACTTACCAGCTTTTAGAATTGTGAGACCAGTGTGTGGTACTTTGTTCTACAGTGGCACTGCTTGAGCCAGGACATGCCATCATCTATTTTCACATAATTATTAATAATGAGCACCTTTAACATATTTATCAGTCATTTTAAGTCTTTTTCTTTTTGCCTCATAGAAATTTTTAATATATTATGCGTATAAGCACTTTGTTCATTATCTTTTCCCAATATCTGTTTTGTGGTTTGTCTTTTTACTCTTTTAGCTCTGTCTTTTGATAAACAGAAACTCTTGATTTTATGCCAAATTTATCAAGCTTTTCCTTTTTGATTTATGCTTTTTAGGAGGGTTTTTTTTTTTTTTGCTTTTTATGTCTTAAGATATTCTTCTGCACCCCAAAATCATGCATATATTTCCTAATTTCTCAAAGTTATAGAGTCCTTGTCTTTTAGTTTCATTTTCATCTGTAGTATGAAGTGTAAGTCTACTTACCATTTTTTTGTTTGCATTTTGTTAGCATAAGATAGGCTTATGCTACAGTAATAAGTAATCCCTAAATCTTGGTTTTTTCTCATAAAAAAAAAAAAAACACAAAAAAGCTCTGGGTCTAGGGCAACTCCTATCTAATCTCCTTCTAGTGGCTTCTAAGGGCAGAACTTAAAAGGAAACCAACTGGAAAATGAATCTGGGAAATGTAGTTTACAGAGTTCCAGCTCCAGTGTAACAAGAGAGAATAGAGCTTGGAGAGAAATAACAGAAAATGACTGGTGCTCAAGACAGGTTTTTTTAAATTTTATTTTGTTTTTTTTTTTTCTTCTTGTTTGAGTTTTTTGGGGGGACTTGTTGGATCTGTACAATGATGTCTTTGGTCAACTTTGGAAAATTATTAACCATTGTCTCTTTCAGTGTAGTCTGTGTTCCTTCTGTAACTCTGATTAAATGTAAGTTAGACCATTCATGCTATACTTTTTATGTCTTAACCTGTCTTAAATATCTATGCTGTATTTTATATCTGCTATATTTTCAAATAAGTTTATAGTTCTTATGTAGCTTACAAATTCTCTCTTCTTTGAAATGCATCTAGAACTTTTTCTTTAGGACTCAAAAGATATAATTTCAGTATTTTCTATATTGTACCGTTTCTGTTAAAAAGTCCGCTGCCTTGTCTTATTGCTCTTTTGAAAGTAATTTCTCCTCCATTTCTTCTTTGCTAGCTACTTTTTAAGATTTTTTTTCTCTTTATTTTGGTTTTCAGTAGGTCTTCTATATGTACCTAGTGTGGTATTCTTTTGTTATTTACTTGCTTGGCATTTACAGAGCTGCTTGAATTTGTGGGTAGGTGTCTTTGGTGAGTTTTGGAAATTTCTCAGATGTTATATCTTCAAGTATTATTTCTGCCCCATTTCTCCCTCTCTTTATGAGACTCCAAAACCTGGATGTTAAAAACTTTTCAGTATATACATATCCTATTCTCTCTTGTGTCTCACAGCCCTTTTCCTCCTTGCTCTTCAGACTAGATATTTTCTTTTGATCTATATTGCAATTCATTTATCTCTTCTGCTAAACCTATGAAGTTCTTAAATATCCTTTTTTTTTTTAAGAAGAAGGAAGGTGCTGAGGATTGAACCCAGAGCCTCATAGATTTTTAATGGATTCAATTATCAGGGGAATTTTTCTTTTGTTTTTTTCATATTTTTCCCCAATGAAACTGTTACTTGAAAGTTCTTAAGTTCTTATCTGATAGATCCATGATTTAAATTTCCTGTGGCTCTCCTTCTCTCTCTTTATTTTTTAACATTTGTTCTTTTTAATTGTACATGACAGTAGAGTGTATTTTTATATACATGGAGTATAACTTTACCATTCTTGTGGTTGTACATGATATGGAGTTACACTGGTCACATGTACATAAATGAACAAAGGAAAGTAATGTTGAATTCATTCTACTATCTTTCCTATTCCCATTTCCCTTCCCTTCCCTTCACTCCCCTTTGTCTAATCCAGTGAACTTTTATTCTCAACTCCCTTATTTTGTGTTGGCATCCGCATAACAGAGAGAACATTTGGTCTTTGGTTTTGGGAATTGGCTTATTTCACTTATCATGATAGTCTCCAGTTCCATCCATTTACCAGCAAATTCCATAATTTAATTTTTATTTATGGCTGAGTAATATTTCATTGTGTATATATTCCACATTTTCTTTATCCATTCATCTGTTGAAGGGCACTTAGGTTGATTCCATAGCTTAGTGATTGTGCATTGAGATGCTATAAACATTGATGTGACTGCATCACTGTAGTATGCTGGGTTTAAGTCCTTTGAGTATATGCCGTGAAGTGGGATAGCTGGGTCAAATGATGGTTCCATTCCAAGTTTTCTGAGGAATCTTCATATTGCTGTCCAGAGTGGTTGTACCAATTTGCAGTCCCACCAGCAATGTATGAGTGTACCTTATTCCCCACATTCTCACCAATATTTATTATTACTTGTATTCTTGATACTTGCCATTCTGACTGGAGTGAGATGGAATCTCAGTGTAATTTTAATTTGTATTTCTCTAATTCTGTGGCTCTCTTTCTATTCTGTCCCCCTCCCTGATTTCTGGTAATTTGGTCCACTCTATTGGCATGCATGGTAGTTTTCTGCTGAATGCTGAACTCTGATAAACTGTAGAAATTCTGGATGTTGAACCTCCTCGGCAAAGGGCTCACACTTTCCTCTAATGAGGCAGAGTGGACCTTACTACAATCAGGGCCTGAGCTTACTGAAAGACTTAGGTTGTGGTTTTCATTAAGACTACTATTGCTGTACGTCTCCCCGCTTACAGGATGTGGCCTTCCAGGGGTTTTCCATTTGATAGCCACTGTGCTCACTGGATCTGACCCCAGTGGCAGTTCCTCAGCTCTAATCTTTGTATCCTCAGTATCTAGACTCTGACCTCAAAATTCATTCTCCTTTTCAGAGAATTTGAATTTTTGAATCTGAGCCAGAGATCTTAGATTTCTGCTTAGCATCTTAACCTTTCATTCTGCACAGCTTCGGGTTTCACAGAATGTCTTAATAAGTAACCAGGCTGAGCATTTGGCTAAATTTTCTACCAGTCCTATTTAATGTTCTGATAAACTAGAGTCTTATTCTTGTCTTTCAATGCCCTTTCATATAGCCAAAATTTCTGTTGGTTTCTCTGCCTTTTAGAAGTTGCCCATTGCTCTGGGTCCTCGTTCTTAACCCATTCCTAGAAACACTAAGTGACTTTAGAATAAAAGAAGCTGTAGACTTTTGACACACTAACGCAAAATTCATCCTTCTCTATGATTATGATACTCTTGCC